GAAGATTTTCATATTTTCTATTATTTTTAAAAGATTCGTTAATTACGGAATTATTGAAAATAATTGTAACAATATTAGAACAAGAAAAAAAATCTTTACTATAACTTATACAGTCTGATCTTTTTATAATCACTATTTATATTATATAAAAATTTCTTTATAACTATACTTTTTATAAAATCAACACTATATAAAAAATCTTCTATAATCACAGGATTTTTATAATTATATTCCTTTAGAATCAATATTTAATAATATTATATAATTTATATAAGTTTGAAAAAATTCTATAATAATAAAAATTATTTTTAAGAATACTTTTATGTCAAGCAAAAATAGAATATTCTAATATTTAAAAATCTGTACTTTCTGATTATTAACTAATAAAATGTACAAATTTTTAATTAGTTTAAAAATTTTATATATAACTTTGTTCTCCAATTTTATAATGTTAAAATATAATATTTTCAAATCAAAAATAATTTAGAGATTATTTTTGCTTAATATAAAGATATTCTATTATTAAAAGATTAATTTAAAGATTAAAACTAGAATTGAAGTTATGATTATATATAAAAATTATTTCTTTGATTTTTTTAGTATATTAAGTTATATTTATTTTGTTAAATTGATTAAATATTTATAAATTTTTATTAATTTGTATTACTAGCAATATATAAACTAATTCTTTTTTTTGTCATGATTAGAATATGATAATTTATTATATAAAACATTCTTTTATATAAATCACTTTCTTTAAGTTGTATCTATATATAATTTATAAGTTATATAATAAAAAAATATAATAAATTTGGATTTTTTTAATCAAATATGATAATTTATATAATTTTATTTTAAAAAAATTTAAATTTAAATAAGTGATTTTAATAATAAATTTGAAGTATTTACAAATTATATAAAAAATAATTTAATAATCTATGATTTAATTTCAAGTATTATTATAATTCAAAATTTTATTCATAATATTCATTAATTTTATTATTATTAGTATCAAAATTTTCAATTTTTTAATCAATTATTTGATATATTATTATTATTATTATTATTATTATTATTATTATTATTATTATTATTATTATTATTATTATTATTACTTAATATTTTTTGCAATTATTATTATTTGATATTTTATTATTATTATTATTTTTATTATTTAAAAATATATAATTTTTACTTTTAAAATATTATATTTGTTGTAATCTATCATAATTAAAAATAATACTAATTTTATTAATTTATTTTTATATTAAATTATAATATTATTTGTTTATCTTGAATTTAAATAATTTATTAATAGAAATATCAAATAATTGAACTTGTAAAGTTAATTCATCTGAAATTATAATCATATTTGTATTATGTTTATTAAATTAATACTTAACAAAATTAAATAATTCTTAAAAGAATCTAATACTAAAGTAAGGATACTTGTCAAAATCTCTTAGTAATCATTTAAATTCCATCAAAATTATAATAAACTATTAATAAATAGTGTATTGAAATTCTATCAAATTTTGAAATCTGTTAAAATTGAAATTATATCAAAATTCTAATTAACAATTAATGTGTAATCTATCAAAACTCTGCCAAAATATTTTTGAAAAAATTTTGGCAAGCATCCTTAACTAAAAGTAAATATAAATTTGTAGATATTGGTACATAATATTCTCAATTTATCATAATATTTTAGAGTTATTCACCTATTCTTGCTTATTTACATGAATAATAATACCATTACAAAAAGTTTGACAAGAAATATTAAATATGATAACTGGAGATAATTTGATTTTATTTGTCATACAAGCCAAACTAATACTAAAATGTAATTTTTTATGATTATAGATGTGAATACTAACTGTATTTGCTCCTGTTTCTTTGATTGTAGTTCAAATCAACATGATGTTTCATTCACATTTCTAATTAGATTAAGAGAATAGTTATGTTGAATGTGACAATATAAAATAAATTATAAAAATTCTGTTTTTTTGATTCAAAGTCTTCTGATAATCATTGTGCAATTGTAGTTCAGCAATGATTGCTAAGCCTATGACGTTGTATAAATCTATCAAGCCATTTATCGCTGAATTTGCATTTATCAATACTGTAATATATTGTTAAAAAATGTAGTTTTTGTCAGAGACTAGGCTTTAGTATGAATCATAAATCAAGAAACAACTTTTTGCTAATTTATTACGATTATTATGCCATGTTCGAATTTGATTGGGCTGAATATCAAATTTTTCAGATGTATTTCAAATACTTGCAAAAGGATTCTTATCCAAATAAGTAATAGCTAATTTTTCTTGAACATTCCATAGTAATTGTTGCTCTTTGATATCACGCCATTTTTTATAATACGAAAAAAAGTCAAACGCATAAAAAGAATTAAACAAAAACACATTTTTGGGGTGTAATAATATTTTTTCTTCGTGAATAAAGAAAATTGTATGCGAAATGTACAACGATGCTTGTAATTTATCTAATTGTCTAGGGCATATGTAATATGCACATAATCCAATTTAGAAAATAACCTCTATGATACACCCTCCTTATAATACAAGAAACCCACCATTTAATATAATCAATTCCGTACAATACGATGGTTCTATGAGATCTATATGCGTAATTTTTTTATAGTCAATGATCAGCGTGATAAGTTTTCTTTCGAGAATTCCATTAGTTATTCCCTAAGGATGTTTTGAACTTCCCTCTCTCACATCCCTCTGCAAAAACGACGACGACGTCGAACCCTCACATCTATCCTTTCTCGCTCTTTTTTACAAAGTGTTTCGGCGCTGGAAAATAGCTGATCACGTTTCCAAATACATATAAATATCACCGCATAACATATCATACAATATACTCAATAACTCCACAACAAAATAAAGTAGAGCTGGCTCAAAATTACAGTGATACCTCGCGTGTGTCCCTCTCTTCCACGCTTTCCGATGATCAAGATCTCGAAACTGGTGGAAGCACATCGGAATTTGGGAAATCCAGCGCTTTTAATAATCTGATACAAAAAGATGGCGTAATAAACAATGTTGACAACAGCCAGTTAGATGTTCTAGTTGAAGGTGGTGGCAGTAGTCCAACCGTCATCTTCTCTTCGTCGGCAGCCTTGTCGAATAATGCAACAAATAATAATAGTAAACGACGATATTCAACACCTTCGTCCCCGATAAATACTGGGGGATTTGTTAATTCCATTAAAGAGAAGTTAAGAGGTGGTGGTAGCGTATCAAGAACAATGCAAAGAAGTGAATATGTTGAATTGGAAACAAAAGAAGGTTTAGAAGAAGAGGACGAAGATCATTGGTCTTCCGAAGACGATAATAATAATGAAAGTATCAAACTGAAAAAACAACGAAAGGCATTTTTGCATAATACAAAAGATGATGGATCTGCTGATAGCGAACAACCAGAACGAAATTTAGCTTTTGAGGTGTGTGTTGGTTAGTTAATTGGCCGAGTTTTTACGTCATGGGAATATTTAATTTATTTTGGTTGTTATCTGAATTCAGGCGATACCTCCATTATTAGTCGCAATAGTTTGGTCAATAATAACCGGCTCTTTGTTAGATATCGTTAAAGTAAGGTGATATATATTCATTTCTCTCTTTGATGATATGTTTAAATGTAAATCTAACGTTATGTTTATTTATTGTGAACTATGTTGTGTTGGCATTCAATCTATAACGGTTTATTTCTTATATTAGCATTGGGATGCATTTACTCACGTCAAAGAATTATTCATATTAGTTCCGGTTTTATTAAACCTAAAAGGAAATCTCGAAATGAATTTAGCATCGCGCATGTCAACTTCAGTAAGCTTATTATAATATGAAAACTCTGTTATATCGTAAAGAATCACTCTATACATTATCATTTATATTTTTTCGAAATAATTAGGCTAATCTGGGTGAATTGGATAAACCATCTGTTCGAGATGCACTTGTATGGGGAAATTTATCTCTCTTACAAGTGCAAGCATTGATAGTTGGTGCAGTTGCTGGATTATTCTCATTTGCCGAGGGAATAATATTTCATCCGCATAAAAATTCGTTCTATGAAAGTATGCTGGTAATTGTAGCATCTATGCTGTGTTCTGCGCTAAGTAGCTTGATAATGGGAACCTTCATGTGTACGTTAGTAATTTTGTGTCGGAGATTCAGAATTAATCCAGGTAATTAAATTAAATCTTTGAATTTTTCAAAACAATTTATTTACTGCTGATGTCATTCGTTTTTAATTTCAATCTTGTTTTCTAATTAAATAGATAATATTGCATGTCCAATGGCATCTTCGCTTGGTGATCTGTTAACTTTAATAATATTATCGGTGTGCGGTGAATTTTTGCTACGATATATGGGTATTTATCAAAAAGGTTATATTCATCGTTATTATAATAATAAGAAACTAAGATCGGAATGAATTTCGTAGAAACTTTTACCAGCACTGCATTATTCATTCTTTTGGCTATTGCTATACCATATTGGGTGCGTCTTGTCTCGTCTAATAAATACGTGCGAGATTTATTAACTAGTGGGTGGTCACCCTTATTTTTTGCGATGATTATCTCAAGGTATATGATAAAATATAGATAATATTTTTCGTCGAAATTAGAAATTTTAATTAAAAACTAATAATTTATTATTAACAGTATGGCGGGATTAACATTAGAACAATATATCGAGAAATACTCGGGATTAGCATCGCTGCAACCTGTGTTGACAGCACTTTCCGGAAACCTAGGATCCATCTACGCTTCTCGAATATCCACTCGATTGCACAGCAGTAGTGGAGAAGAGGACTATCGTAAATCCGAAATTGTTCTATTTATTATCCATATCCCGATAGAAATTCTTTTTATGTTAATTGTTTGGTGGTTTGATGTTGGACATGTTCATTTGACTTGGAGCTTATGTATCATGTATCTATTCGTATCCGTTATATCTGTAAGTGGATTTTATTATTTGGATCGCTAATTGTTTTCTTCTTTAATCCATTAATGTATATGCTAACTTGTGTTCTCAAATTGACAGGTGTCATGTGCATTATTATTGGCAAAGAGGATAACGCTTTGGTTATGGCATCGTAAATACGATCCTGACAATTATTCTTTACCTTATTTGTAAGTGTAACGCAAACTTTAACAATTTTCATTTTAATTATGAAATAATAAAAGATTTTATTCTTATTATAGAACGGCTGTTGTTGATGTGATGGGAACTACCTTACTTGTGTTAGCTTATTTGTTTTTAACCGCTGTTGGGCTAGCGAGTGAGGAACAAGCGATAGTCAGTGAATAATAGTAGTAAGAGAATTACTTATTGCCAGAGGGATTTCGTCTCTTCAAAAAAAAAACTTTTTCTTTGTAATTCTTAAAAATGGTATGTTTGGGAGGGAGTCCTTAATTTATAATTGGAATGTCGATTGTGAACAATTACCTTTGTAGATAATATCATTTTGAATATCCCCTCTTTAATTTATTTTTCAATCTTTATTGCTTAGTTTGACACTCACTTAATACTGTTTGCTCTTGCAAAAAATTAATAGATTACTGTGCGCATAATATAAATTTCTTGTCCATTATAATCACATACTCTGTGTCAAGAAAAACAAAATATATTCTAGGAGTAACACTCTTTTCTCTGAGAAAGAGGATAATAGTGTTCTCATAAGATTGTATATCTTTAGTAAAATTTTGTCAATTCAATAAAATTATTTTCATCGAATCTCACTTTTTTCTCACCTATCAACACATTCATCAATGTCCGTATATACTTTCGCTACTTCGCGAATGCTCACTCACAATAAACTCATAAAACTCTTTAGGATACTCTAGAAAAAACATAAATTTAACAGGAAATTTAACATCTGATTAAAAACGAAAAGAAAAAAATCAAATTCACAACATACCCGACCCATGAATAGTCAATGCGTAACAAACTTCATGAAAACAAATATCGAATAAAATACCCGATTAATAATGTAGAAGATATCCAACAAATAAATTCATTGCAAAATTTACCCAGCTCAACTTTTTGCAGGTTCGATTTCATGTCTTCCATTTTTTTACCGATAGGAGAATTCGGCTTTGCATTTAGCAAAGAAAATTCTTTTTTTTACAGTAAAGGAAAAAATTCAAAATGTTAACTTTCAGGAAAGACCGAAAATCACGAGTATGATAATCAATCCAAGAAGGATCAATTAATATTCTACTCACGAGCCTTCAAATTCCTTAGAAACTGGCAAATTTCTAGTGGTCGTGTATGATCACCTTTACCGACTGAATTTATCGCGTATCGCATCAATTCACCGGTTAGATCAGCAATTCCAAGAACATAGTCCAAGTCGGTTATTTGTAGAAACTAAAAAAAAAAAACAAATTATCTTTTAACGCATGTGAAATTGAAGTTTGAACATGCAATAATAACCAACCTTATTACCAGACTCATCCAAAAGATTTGCTTCAATCTCATCCTTTTTTATTAAATCACCGTGTTCCAAGTATCGGAGAAACGCCATCGCTTCCGTATATTCCTGGAATCCATTGGACATGTTACGAAGATATCTTTATTTCGGAAAAAAAAGATTTTTTATAAATGACATATTATAATTGAAAAGTAAAGCATGTCCGAAAACACAATAAGGAATTTACCGAAAATAGTTCACACCACTTAAATGAACACAAATGTCTTTGAATAATTGAAAGATCTCTTTATGCTTTTCTGCTGCTTCTTTTAGTATAGCATCGAGTGAACTATTAATTATCCTTTTTTGATAAGATTAATTGTTAATATTTTTCATTTAAAAAAAACATGATTATTTTTTATTGTTGTTTTACCTGTGACCGATGTATATCAATTTTTTGCTTTGAAATGTGATATCCCTAGATCAAAATTAAGACATTATGCGGAAAGCCTATATCGAAGACCATCATCATAACGATTCATTTTCTCACTTTGAGTGTCTAATTACAATTTCTCGTGTATTATACTGTCAAAATACAAAAATTAAATTAGTCTTGTGATTAAAAGCATAAAACATGTGTAGATGAACATTTTGACTTGCAAACGACAATAATACACAAATCCCCATGTTTTCCAGACCTTACATGCTCATCCAAAGAATCACGTAATGTGCTAAACAAGGCTCTAACACCCGTTTCTTTAACTTTTTGGGTTTCTACCTCGTTTGAATTATCATCAGTAGTTTGCTTTCTTGAATTAGTAACACCAGTTTCTATAGAGATAGTTGGTGAACTAGAGCCAACGGGAATTTGATTCATTCTTTCCATTGACCAAAGTAATAAATTCAGGGATATTTCTAGGCATCTCTAGCCTGAGATGCCCAAGTATATCTCTAGCTTTAGATCACGTAATTCACGTGATCTAAAAATGAACGGTTGATCGATGTGGCGCACGTGCGCTACGAAAATTATGGTTCGTGATATCCGAACACAACAAAAAAATTACTTCGCTTGGACTATCACTATTTCTTATGGTGCTGGAAGTCTATACTCAACTATCACGAGAGATCTTTAAAACGCAGCAACTTTTTGTAAAAATGATATTTTAAAAAACTGACTGGTAACTTTGTTCTTTGTAACGAGCTCTATAAAGTTACCAATCAGTTTTTTAAAATATTATTTTTACAAAAAGTTGATGCATCTTAAAGATCTTTCATGATTGTTGAGTATTGTTATGATATGAACTTTTACTATATTAATTATCTTAGATCTTATTGGATAATTCATATCATAATGTTATTGGATAATATTTATTAATATCTTATTGAACACTAGCTAGAAAAGATCTTATTCATTAATATTAAATGGTAGAACAAGCAATATGATCATAGCAAAGTTAGCAAACTGATCCAAGCTAAACTAGCAATTGGATTCAAGCTAAACCAGCAATCTGATCATAGCAAAAATAGCAATATGATACTAGCAAAGTAAACAATTAGATCTTAGTAAAAGTAGTAATAGTATTATAACAAAAGTAACTTTTGTAGAATTATCAAATATTATAAAAGCAATGTAACTTAGCTAGTGATTAAAAAATAAGTTTGATAAGTTGAATACTTCAGAAGTTGAAACACTTTAATAAAAATAACTTGTTGAATTATATTTGATATTGATTTTGATCTTGAAAGATAGATCACTATTGAATGACCAATTATTATATTTAACTTGAAAAACAGTCACTTAAAAGACTTATCATTTTGAATTATTATCTTTAAATTATAAAGAAATTTAGTAAAATTTAAGTAAAGTTATTGAATGTCATTCTAGCTTGTTGTCATAAGTTCTAGACTCAGGTAGATAATCTCGTAATGTAAATATTCAACCAATATCTATCTTAGTAAGTTAATAATTCAATCCAATTATTTTAAAATCGTAATGCTATATGACTTCTTCTATTTTATTAATTTAGAATAATACTATTACTAATAAATATTTTTCTTTGTATTTACTTAGTGTAGTGACAGTCCTATAACAATACAGTATTGATATTCTATAGCAACCTGATTAAGTATTGAATAGTGTATAAAGTAAGTGTTATAACAAGATTAATAATTATAAAATCAATTAATGTACAATTTTATTAAATAATAAACAAAAAGCAATTTATTGACTAACTAGATTTTATATTGATTAATTAATATCTTTGGTTTATTCAAAAGATTCTTTATTTATATAAAATAATTTATAATTAAGTTATTACAATATTATACATGTTAGATAAATATAATATAACAGATAATGTTGATATATTTGAGAATTTTACTATCTCTTATCTCTATAATCTCTGCAATCTCTGTGATCTATATAGATCACATGACTAAATTTAAGAAATTAAAAAATTAAGAAATTAAAAGTAATTCTGAATCATAACATTGTCACAACAAGAACACATATTACTTACTTTTAGTATAATAGTTTTTAGTCTCTCCCATTATAAAAACTTAGTTTCTCTTATTTTTTATTTAGTAAAAATACATGACTAATATATTAGAACTTAAAGTATATAAAAATAATAACAATATTTATAAATTTACTTATTTTAAAAAAAATCTGGATATCCAGATCAAAAAATATTTTTGCTGATATAAAAACTAGAATTCTAAAAAAAGTCTGATTCAGTTCGAGTTTGATTTGATTCAAGCTTAAATTTGACCAAAAGTTCATTTTGAAAATTTGAATTTAATTAAAAGTTTGGTTCGAGTTTAGTTCAAATTTTGAACCAGACTTGAACTTGATTAAAAGTTTAGTTCGAGTTCAAGTAAATATTTATTGATGTTTTAATTAAAGTTATAGATCATAACATGAGTTACAAATTGATATAAGATAATTAATATTTAGGATGAATATTTAAGAAGTTATATGAATTTAAAAAATAATT